CGCGTGATGATCATCCACGTGGCGAGCGCCCAGTTGATGCCGGTCCATGCTGCGGTGCCTGCGTTGAGGATAAGATGCGTCACATAGCCGTGTCTAGATGTAAAGGGGGGGGGGGGGGGGGTGATCAGTGGCGGGCGGAGACGTGGTCAAGGCTGGGCGCACCGTTCGGTGATGTCCTTGGCGCAGGACAGCACGCTCGCCATGCTGCCGAGATCGAGCGGCACAAACTCGATGCGCGTGCCAGCGACGAAGCGCCGCCGATACACGCCGCGCGCACGCGCCTCTCTTGCGGCGAAGCTCAGCGATGCGCCGTCGCCGTCGCGCGTCTCGTCGTATGTGTCAAGGGCCTTGGGCGGCGGCAGCGCAGACGAGGTGGCGCCGCTGGCGAGTGCATCCTGCGCCTGGCCCTCGGCCGTGGCGGCCGCGGCGGCCGCACCGCGCCGTCGGCGGCGGCGGATGCTTGCCTCGACGGCCTGCGCCGCGAGCGCCGGATCGGCGTCCTCGTCGATGCTGCCCTTGGGCAGGCGGCGGCTGCGCGGCGCCTCGGTCGGCTGCGCCTCGTCGGGCAGCTCGCCGAGCGCCTCGAGCAGCGCCATGAGCTCGCGGCGCGCGCGGTGCGCCTTGACGGGGTTGCGGCACGCCAGGACGAGCGTGCAGCCGTGGGGTGCGGCGAACGGCGACGGCAGCGCGGCCGGCCCGTCGCGCAGGGCGAAGCGCGGCTCCGTGTCGGACGGCAGCGGCGCCGAGAGCTGCACGAGGAGGCGCTGGCACGTGCCGAGGCCGACGCCGCTGTTGGCGCCCGTGACGACGATGACGGGGCGCGGCGGCGCATCGGCCATGATGGCGATGGGTAAGCGAGGCGGTGTGGTGGGCAATGGGTATGTCGGTGGTGGGGCGATCCAGGGGGCGTCGGGCGCGCTTTCAGCTGATGTGCGGCGCGGCGCTTCTCGTGCGAGACGCTTCGCGCGAGAGCGGATTCTTCTCAAGCCGCTGCTGATTTCCGCGTGTGCTGCTCTTCCGGCTGCACCCGCTCCTCTTCTTCCCCACATCCACCACCACCCACCATGTCCGAGTCGAAGATCACTGCCATCCTGTCCGTGTACGACAAGACGGGCCTCGTCGAGTTTGCGCGCGGGCTGAGCGAGCGCGGCGTGCGCCTGCTCGGCTCGGGCGGCACGGCCAAGCTGGTGCGCCAGGCGGGCATCGAGATTGGGTGAGTGCAGCAGAGGCAGGAGGGGCCAACACTGGCGCTGACATATGCCCCAGCGACGTCTCGGACATTACCAAGGCGCCCGAGATGCTCGGCGGCCGCGTCAAGACGCTGCACCCCGCCGTGCACGGCGGCATCCTCGCGCAGCTGGGCAAGGAGAGCGACGTCGCCGACCTCGCCTCGGCCGGCTTTGCGCCCATCTCGATTGTCGTGTGCAACCTGTACCCGTTTGAGGAGACAATTGCGCGCGAGGGCGCCACGCTCGCGCAGGCCGTCGAGGAGATCGACATTGGCGGCGTCACGCTGCTGCGCGCCGCGGCCAAGAACCACGAGCGCGTGAGCATCCTCTCGGACCCGCGCGACTACGAGGCGTTCCTGGCGAGCTTTGGCGAGGGCAGCGCCGAGCTGCGCAACCGCCTGGCCTTGAAGGTTAGTTGGGGGGTTTGCGGTGCGGCGGTGTGGACTGACGTGCGCTGCAGGCGTTCACGCACACGGCCGCCTACGACGCCGCCATCAGCGACTACTTCCGGCAGCAGTACGCCTCGGGCCAGGCTGCGCAGGTGCAGCAGCTGCCGCTGCGCTACGGCGCGAACCCGCATCAGAAGCCGGCGCAGGCGTTTGTCACGGAGGGCGCCATGCCGATCACGAGTGAGTAGCAGCCGAGATAGCGGCATGAGCGTAGCGTGACCCGTGGCCGTGGCGACGAGCGAGCGAGTCGGTTGCTGCTGGCCGCGTCGTCGACGGCTTGGCCGATCCCCGAGACTCAGGCGTGGCCCACACTCCAGGCCTCGGCACACCAACGCTGACTCGCGCGCCGCAGCACTGTCTGGCTCGCCGGGCTACATCAACCTGCTCGACAGCCTCAACGCCTACGCCCTCGTGCGCGAGCTCGCCGAGGCCACCGGCCTGCCCGCCGCGACGTCGTTCAAGCACGTCTCGCCCGCGGGCGCCGCCATCGGCGTGCCGCTCTCGGCCGTCGAGGCGCAGGCGTGCTTCGTCGACGACCTCGGCGAGCTCTCGCCGCTGGCGTCGGCCTATGCGCGTGCCCGCGGCGCCGACCGCATGAGCTCGTTTGGCGACATTATCGGTCTCTCGCACGTGTGCGACGCGCAGACGGCGCGCATCATCGGCCGCGAGGTCAGCGACGGCGTGATTGCGCCGGGCTACGAGCCGGCGGCGCTCGAGATTCTCAAGAAGAAGAAGGGCGGCAAGTACTGCGTGCTGCAGATGGACGCCGCCTTCCAGCCGGGCACCATCGAGACGCGCCAGGTGTACGGCGTGTCGCTGCAGCAGCGCCGCAACGACGTCAAGATTGAGCCGTCGCTCTTCACCAACCTCGTGTCGGCCAAGAAGGACGTGCCCGAGCAGGCCAAGCTCGACATGATCGTCGCCACGCTCGCGCTCAAGTACACGCAGTCGAACTCGGTCTGCTACGCGCTCAACGGCCAGGTCATCGGCCTCGGCGCCGGCCAGCAGAGCCGCATCCACTGCACGCGCCTCGCGGGCAACAAGGCGGACAACTACTGGCTGCGCCAGCACCCGCGCGTGCTCGCGCTGCCCTTCAAGAAGGGCACCAAGCGCCCCGAGAAGAGCAACGCGATCGACCTCTTCGTCGAGGGCGTGCTCGACGGCGACGAGATGCAGGGCACGCAGGAGCGCACCGAGTGGGAGGCCGTGTTCGAGCAGGTGCCCGCGCCGCTGAGCAAGGCCGAGCGCGCGGAGCATGCCAAGGCGCTCACGGGTGTGGTGTGCAGCTCGGACGCCTTTTTCCCCTTCCCTGGTGAGTAGAGAGCAAAGCGTAACAGAGCGAGGGTGGGGAGAGGAGGGAGGGTGGAGGGGCAAGTGCGGGGGCCGGCGTCGGATGCTCAGCCGCGGCAGAGCTCGGCTCGGGCGCCAAGTGAGGCGGAGCATGGCAGTCGCAAGCCGTGAACCGGCCGTGGCAGAGGTCTCAAGCGCGGCAGAGCATGACAGTCGGATGCTCCAGCCGCGACAGGCAGAGCATGCCGCTTGAGAGCCGTCATCGCGACAGAGCCGTACTTCTCGCACGCCATGCACGGCAGCCTCTGGATCTCAGACGTACGGCTGTGGACCTCGTGTGCGGCGACTGCGGCAGGACATGGCTCGGCCGCGGCGACTGCGGCAGAACACAGCTCCCACTGAGCTCATCGCTGACGCTGCCCCTCCCGCAGACAAGTGCGCAGCTGCGACAACCCCTCTGCCTGCGCCACCGGCTGACGCCCCCTCCACAGCATCCACCGCGCCGCCCGCAGCGGCACCTCGTACATCGCCGCGCCCGGCGGCAGCGTCATGGACGACGCGTGCGTGCAGGCCGCCGACGCGCACGGCATCGTCGTCGCGCGCACGACGCTGCGTCTCTTCCACCACTAGACCACAGTCAGAGTGGTGCACTGCGGCGGGGAGCGACGATGTCGGGGAAAGTGACGCACGGCGGGGCGTGGCGAGTGCGCAAGGTGTGGTCTTTGCGCAGCGGCGAGACGGCGTCCGTGCTGAGGTGCAATGCATAGATGGACACACGAGACGTATCGAGGGCGGCCCCTGCTGGGCGTCGACGGAGGAGTGCATTGGAGGATTGCGAGCCAGGGCACTGCGCAGGACTTCTCTGTGCCGTGCCGCGAGCGTGTAGCGACCGGGCCTAAGGCAGCGTCGAGCGCCGAGCAGCACTGAGCGCAGCTACTGCAGCGTGATGGCGAGCAGCGCCGCTGAGGATTCGCTGCCGCACGTCGGGCACAGCATGAGGGTCCGTGAGTGCGTTCCGGGAATGCACTGGAGAAGACTGCTGCTGCGCCGGACTTGCGCTGCTGCCATGCCGTGCACGTAGGCCACGCTCGCGGCCTAATCCGTCAGCTGGGCCGTGCACGCGGCCTCCATCAGCTGGGCCGTGTAAGCTGCCTCTCTCGCAGCGGAGGCCGTGTGTGCTGCCGCTGCTGACGCTCTCCAGCAGCAGGCTGGCGGCGTATGACATCTCGACGTCGCTGTGCACCTCTTCTCTATCGCAGCGCCGGTGTCTTGTGCTCGCCCCTCCGTTCCATCGCCGCCCCACGCAACAGCATCTGAGAGCGTCTGCCTACGTCGTGCGCATCAGTCAGCCATCCCTTGTTTCGGCTAGCTGGCTCTCGCACGCAGGCAGAGCGTGTTGGTCACACCCCGCAGCGCACTCCTGATTGCCTTCACGGCGCTTGACATCAGCGGCGGAGCTATTGCGGCACCTTGGCGGCCCTCTTTGCTGTGCGTCGTTCGACATCGCAGCGCTTGACATCAGCGGGCGAGCTCTTAGCTCTGCGTCGCTTGCCGTTCCCATGTCCTGCCTCGCGCCAGCACAGCGTCGGGGCAGAGCGCGCCAGGCACGTCAAACGCTCCCTGACTTTGCTGATGCCGGTGGCTCGAGCGCCTACGTCTCGCGAGCCACAGCGGCAGAGCCAAGCCAAGCGCAGCGACACGTACACCGCCAGGCTGTCCTCGGCGCAGCGGTGCTCAGCGCCGCTGTGCACATCGAGGCTGCACCAGCGCCGCAGCTGCGCCGGGCATCAGCAAGGCTCTGCTCTGTTGCCGCGTCAACATCTTTCTGCCGCGTTGACAGCTCGCTAGCAGCATCAGCGCGCTCTGAGAGCGTGTCAGCGCACGTCGACCGCTCAGCCGCACTCGGGCCGCTTGTTGCAATGTATCTCTGCCACGCTCGAGACGACAGCCGTTGCGGACACGCTCTGTGCCGCTTCGCTCATCTGCTGGGCCTCGAAGCCGCGCTGCAGACGATACGCACGCTCTGAGCACAGCGCAGTATCCACGCACAGCATCACGCACGCGGTCTGGCGGCTGCGGCTCGGCGCCTGGGCACCGTCGGGGCAGCCGACCGTGGCTGTGAGGCGACATAGCGCCCAAGCTCACGATCCGCGTCGAGACAAGCGTGCCTTGCGCTGCCTCGCTTGCCTGGCGGCTCGGCAGCCTCTGCGCCACATCGGGCTGTTGATTTTGCATGCGATGCGCCTGCAAGTGATGGGAACGGCCACGCAGCGGCTGCTCAGAGGAGAGGCAAGCGAGGCAGGGGTGCTCGGCAAGGCACGCGCTGCGAGAAGCACACAGCGACGCCTCCTGCCCTTTTTTTTGCTGCAATATTCCGTGATGCTCTCGATCTGCTCTGTGCTGCCCAGTGCTTCGCTGCTGCGTGCTGTGGCGAGATCTGCTCGCTGCGAGCGCAAGCTGGAGGGAGAAGAATGAGCACGGCGAGCGTCGCGCAGGCGCACCAGGCGTGGGAGCAAAAGAAGGGCAGGCGCCGGCCCCTGCCAGCGCGCGGCGCCGTCGCGCCGCACTTCCGTCCCACCTCCACCTCCCTCCCGCCGTCCGCCTCCGCTGCCGCTTGTCCATCTCGACCACGCTCGCCCACGCTTGCCCACGCTTGCCCACGCTTGCCCACGCACGCCCACGCACCCAGGCCTCTCGTCCGCTACGACGGCGGCGCCACGCCAGCTGCGGCGCACGCCACGCCGACGCACGCCACCGCGCCAGCGCGGCTCTTGCGCCCCATGCTTTGCGCACGCTAGCACAGGTGAGTAGACGCTGGCGCAGGCACGTGCACGCGAGGGTGAGAGGACTTGGCAAAGGCAGCAATGCGCGTATGCGCAGCGACGTGCGTGATGTGCGTCGTTGTGCGTGATGTGCGTCGACGTGCGTGATGTGCGTCGGGCGCAGGGCGGAGCAGGACAAGGGCGCGGGGCATTGGGCGCGGGTCAAGCAGCTTGGCGACGTCAGGCTCGGGCTCAGAGGGGGCTGGGTCTTGAGCAGCACATTCCAGAGTCGAGCAGCACGGTTCCGCCGCCGTCCGGCTGGCGCTACAGTGGCGAGGTGGCGTCATGCAAGCGGTGCGTCGTCGTGGTCAGGCTCGGCGAGCCGGCGATGTGAGAGTCGAGCGGCACGGCGACCAGTGCCGCGCAAGCAGCACGTCGTCGCCGCAAGAGTCAAGCGACGTGTTGGCGTTGCCGTTGTCGGGCTTGTGCTCTGCTGTGGCGAGTCGGCGTCACGCCAGCGGCTTGGCACGTCGGCGTTGCGCAAGCTGCATGTTGTCGGCGTTGCGCAGGTGGCGTCGCGCGAGCAGCACGTCGTCGTCGTTGCGCAGGTTGCGCGTCGTTGGCGTCGCGCAGGTGGCACGTTGCTGCAAGAGTCAAGCGGCACGGCACTCAGGGCGTGGGTCGCAGCAGGTGGCGTCGCCGTCGTCGTCGGGCTGCATGACGCGTGGCTCGGCAAGTCGGTGTTGCGCCGGTGGCACGTCATCAGGGTCGGCGAGTGGGCCTCGAGCGAGCGGCACGTCTTCCTTGCTGCATGCTGCGGCGTTGTCGTCGGGCTTGGCCTCTGCAGTGACGTGTCGTTGCGCAAGCAGCACGTCGGCGCCATGAGAGTCAAGCAGCATGTCGGCGTCGTCATCGTCAAGCTGGCGCGAGCAGCATGTTGTTGTCGTCGCTGCCAACAGGCTGCATGTTGCGTTGCCGTCGTTGGCTCGGCGAGTCGGCGTCGCGCAGGTGCACGTTGCTCCTGCTGCCTGGCTGCACGTGGTCTCGTCGTCGTCGTCGTCGGGCTTGGCGAGTGCCGCGCAGGAGCATGTCGTCGTTGAGGTCCGGCTCAGCAAGTCGGCGTTGGGAAAGCAGCACGTCGTCGGGCAATCAGGCTGTGGGTCGCGCCGCCGTCGTCGTGCTTGGGCTCGTCGTGCACAACACTGACACTCCCCATCTAGCCGTCGCCGTTGCCAGGACCTGCCTGCGTCTCGTCATCGTCCGCGCCACTCGGCCGCACGCATGCACGCACGCCTGCCGCACAGCGAGGCCAGCACTTGGCGCAACGCGCCCTGCTGCACCTCGGCCGCTCAGGCCAAGGGGTCTCGGCTCGGCACTGGCGCGTCTTGGCCGCCGTGACGCGCGCGGCGCCTCTTCGAGCGGACCGCCGCCGCCAAGTGAGTAGATGACCCGCACCGTCGAGGCTTGTGG